CTTCCGCTCAACCGCAGACAAGCGAGCGACCACGGCGTCATGCTGCGCCGAGCGCGCCTCAAGAGCAACCAAACGCATCAACACGTCGTGGGCGACGTCAGCGTTTGCATCTGCCGCACCACGAGTTCGTGGTGAAGGGCTCTCGTTGGGCCCCTGATGGCCGCGAGTATCTGATCGCGGCATCCCATGGTCCTACAGAATGGACATCAGAGCTGGATATACCAGCCAACTCACCTCTCCGTGCTCTCTGTCGCGACTTCGACAGTACTCGGAGATCTAGTAGACGAAATCCCGTCCAAGCCGAGGTAGCTCGGCACGACACTTAGCGAAATTCGCTAAGTTTTCAACCAGCTTCTGCTGGTAGTGGAATGCGTTGGCACAGGCACCTTCCGCACAAGGCGTGCCCACCAAAGCCCAACGTATTCCCAAATGGTCTCCTCCCGCAGTGGAGCGACCCGCACATTGGCGATGATCTCGCCACGGTGCTTGCGTTCGCCGCAAAAGTCAGCGAATTCCATCGCTGATGCACGCCATGGCCGCATGTCAATGAGGACATTGACATCCACCTCGATGCCATCGAGGTATTGCCGCAGCAATTCGCTGCGTGGAGCTCGACACTCCTCCATGCGCGCATACTCTTCCGCGCTACGAGCCAACGCTCGCATTCCGGACACCACCCGGTCCATCGGGTAGTCCGCATCTCCCACATCTGGAAGAGTCCAATCCGTGCGGACGAAAACGTCGTCCGCACTTACCGAGGTCACAACAAAATCCGGCATGCTCCGCCGGTATGGTCGCCCTCGGTCATCGTCGCACCGTCGCTTCCGCGACGGAGAGCGTGCGCTCGGTCAAGAGCGCTCGTGGCTACGCCCCCGGCTGTTCCGAGCTCCGCCACCATTGCCGCCGTCATCGGCGCCCCAGTTCGACGCTCCGAAGGTGCTCATCCTTCGCTTTCGTCGCTTTTGTCACAATGACTACTGACGACAACGGTCGTTCCGAAAACTCCAACGATTGTTCCGAATTCTCAATCCCTGTCCCACGTTCGGCCAAGTATACCGAAATCAAGTTTGAGTGTGGGAGGATGTAACGGGGTCCGGATAACATCCGGACACGACATCCCATTGGTCAGTTCCAATCCTGACCCGAAAGGACACTTGGCAATCCAAGTGTCTTGAATCACTGGCTCTGCGACATCCGCAGCAGCACCATTCATTTAACATGAATGGCATGACTGGCGCGCAGCCGCGCGCCAAGGAAACCAGCTCAGAGATAGCTAGTTCTCTCAGTTAACAATATACCTTGTTCTACACACCTTCCTCTGTGCGCCCCATTACAATTAATATGTCCTACAAGGTCAATCAATATCTACATCTGCCTACCCCTGGATTGCGAAGGGGAACTGACTATTTTGGTCTCAACGGGGATGTAATGTTCACCAGCGCTTTATAATGGCGTGGTCTTTATTTGTGGGCTCACCATAGTCGGTGTGGTCGAGAAGCACGCGTGTTCTAAGTAACGTTAACGTGTTGGTTGATACAGGAGGGAAATACGGTCATTCATCTGAAAACTCTCGTCACTGCTCAGCGAAGGTTTGTGTTGGTTTGGTTGCCGACGCACTCGACGAATGTACTAGTACATAGTGAAGTGGGAGGGGGCCAGGAACGTGTTTGACGGGTCCATTTGCTCGAAGGAAAGTGATTGTGGGTTTTCCATCGACACCATGACACCGATGGTTGGACAAAAATTATCCATTGCTATTGGCTAATTCGTCAAAAACAGTTTTGGCCCTTCGAAATTGCGATCTCCAGTCCGTTTCAGCCAAGCACACACTCGACAATCATGAGAATGCATGCTATCGTTTCAGCAAAACATGCATTCCACAATCATAAGAGTAATCATGAGAATGTATGCAAGTACAGTAGTATAACATGTAAAAATATACTACACTCTTCGGGAATGACGTGCATTGACAGTCAACAAATACAGTCAACAAATACTGTAACGTTACTTCAAGAATGCACACTAACGTTAACTGCTGGGGCGAATAACGTATACTATTAATAGTACCTCGAAGTAGTACTAGTATGTACTAGTAGTTTACCAGTCTCAAATACTACGTAGTACAAACTGAAATCTTGCTCACTATCAGCTCATAACGATAATGGAGTTTGTGGAATTTCGCGCGTTGTGACGTACCAGTAGTACTATGTAGTGTACCAGGTAAGGGAGATTGTCGTCCCATTCGATCCTTGTAAGTTACTAACGTTACTAGTAGTACTAGTACTCCAGAACACGTATTGCGTGAAGTGTATCAGTGTTTATTTCTACCCGGTATCCGAGACAATACAACCAGAATACCATCAACCATATCAAATCGATCATACTTGTATCGAGAAACTGTCAAAAACAGCGGGTGGTCAACCATATCAAATCGATCATACTTGTAGCGACAAACTGTCAAAAACAGCGGGGGGTAGCCTAAGCTGGCTCGTCTTGCAAGTCGGGATCCACCCCAACCATTTCATTTTACCTTTGTTTGTCTCCCAAGCTATCATGGATAATGACAACACGACAACAGGCTTCTCCATCGTGAAGAGTCCTCGTGGGGATACCCCTCATCCCAATCTCCTGGCCTCGTTGCATCCTCTCGACAATGCCAACCTCCTCTCCAAGGCCATCTTTGGGTGGGCCAACTCCACCCTTCGAGAAGGCAACCGACGCCAACTCGGTCCCGAAGACTTGTGGCCCCTCCAGGAATCCAACAAGGCGGCACCCTTGGCCTCCAACTACGCCGCTGTCTACGTCACCCGAGGCAAGAGCATCTTGCGCACCTTCTTCGCGATCTACTGGGCCAAACTCGTTGGCGTTGGACTCATGCAATTGTTCACGGTGGCCTGCGACCTCTACGGACCTGCCTACGTGCTCCAGAAAGTGGTGCGGGCCGTGCAACAGCCAGTGTTTGACGCCACCGCGACGTCGCTGCTGGTGTTGTCCCTTTACGGCATACAAGTCCTGAGTGCTTTCACGAAAGCGCACATGAAGTTCATAAACGACGTGATCGGTATCCAGCTTGCCTCCAGTCTGCGCTCGATGTTGTTTGAGAAAGCACTCAAGCTGAATGCCAAGTCCAAGAAGGAAAAGTCCACAGGTGACATCGCCAACTTGTTCTCCACCGATATTATCAACATCATGCAATTTGCAGCCAGCATGAACCTGATTTGGATCGTGCCGGTGCAGATTGGCGTCGTGCTCTTCCTGTTGTACTTGCTCGTGGGGTGGTCCATCTTCGTGGGTCTCGCGGTTGTGTTTGTGATTCTCGCGTTGAACGCCGTGGTGGCTGTCGTGCTGGGCAAAGAGCTAGACCACATGTTCAAGGCCAAGGACAATCGCATGAAAGTCGTCAACGAAGTGTTCGGGGCTATCCAAATCGTCAAGTTCAACGCGTGGGAAGAGAAGTTTCTGGCCAAGCTCACCGAGTTGCGCCTTGTGGAAATTGTGTCCATTTGGAAGTACATGCGGTACCACTTGGTGCTCGTCACGTTTTTGTTCACCACTCCGGTGTTGGTCACGATCGCAATCTTTGCCACGTTCGCTCTGTGGATGAACCAGGCGTTGACTGTCGAGATTGTGTTTTCGACCCTGGCGTTGTTCAGGTCTATGCAACATGCCCTCTACAGCCTGCCTATTGTCATCACGTCTACCGTGCAGTGCTTTGTGTCTGTGAAGCGCATCAACGCTGTGCTGCATATGGATGAATGCGACCCGTCGGACGTTCAGACACCAGCCTCCAACGCCGCGCTCAAGGCCAAGTACGCCACCGACCGCACGGTGCTGGCCATTGACCAAGGCTCGTTTGGCTGGCACGCTGGGGAGTCGGACAAGGACAGCGCCACTGACACGAAAGTCGCAGACGCTGTCGCCCCGGAAGTCAATGCCGACGACGACAACGCTGTGTCTGTCCTATTTGCCGACGTCAATTTGACGATCCAGCAAGGCCAATTCGTAGTCCTCCATGGCGCCGTGGGCCAAGGCAAGTCGTCACTATGTGCAGCGCTTCTCGGAGAAATGCGCAAACTGGCCGGGACGGTGTTCGTGGGGGGCGACATCGCGTACTTTGCCCAGCAGCCGTGGATTCAGAACGCCACCATCCGAGACAACATCCTCTTTGGAAAGCCGTTCGACGCAGCCAAGTACGCCAACGTCGTGGAAGCGTGTGCGTTGACCAAGGACATTGCAGAGTTGCCTGCTGGGGACAGCACGGAAATCGGCCAGAAGGGCATCAACTTGTCGGGGGGACAGAAGGCGCGCGTGAGCTTGGCCCGCGCGTGCTACAGCGACGCCGATATTTTCGTGCTGGACTCGCCCTTATCCGCCGTGGACGCCATCGTGCAGAACGAGATCTTCACCAAGTGTTTCCTCGGCCTGCTGCGATACAAAACCATCCTCTTGGTC